TCACAAGTCCACACAATAAAGATGCTTTTTTTATGCACATACCTATATATCATACAAAACGTGAAACCACGCGACGGCCCAAGCCGTCCCTGTAACATGTTAATATTGACTCTATAATAATATATTATATTATATCGTCTTGATGAACATCGTTTTTTAAACGTATATCTATAATTAAAAGTAAAAACCATTATTTTAGAGCTACCCCTACTGTGTAGTGTGTACCACAATTACTCTACTCAGCTAGACACAATATTGCTCATAGTATTATATCATCAATATAAACATAATATACATTAATTGTTATTTAAAATGTTGTAAGTTAAAATAATTTAATCAAAATGTATTCATTAGGTAATGGTTTGTTTTAACAATTGTGCTCGTGAATACTGAATAGATAATTTATATAAAAATAAAATGTATAATAATAATTAAACGGAATATTCCTCATCATTCACAGTTTTGACGTTAAATATAAATATAAAAAACTAAAGAACTCCCTCTGCTGTATTATAGTGGGTGCAAGTGTACCACTTCATTGAGTAGATCATGGTAATATTATATGTTCAGTTTGAATTAAATTATGAATCAGAATTATTACAATATACGAAAATGGGTTCTTACAGGAAATGGTCCATATTAAGGGTAAATGGACATTTTCCCCTCGGACATTTTCTCCAGGGTGTATTTTTGATGAAGACATTTCCTTCCCATTTTTTTTTAAATTTAATTATAGACTAATAATATTTATTATTTAAGATGAAATTTTTTTTTTAAATAAAATATAAAATAGTTTTTATTTTCATAAATATATATGTTTGATTAACTGAACTACTTACTTCAAACAATAAAAATTAAAACAAGTAAGTATAAACTATAAAGTAAAATATAATTAATAATTAATAAAAATGGTTAAAAATTCCGACATAAAAATGATGCATTTTGTAAAAATCATTTTAATTCTGATTATTTTGTTATTTCTCAACTTATATTTTTAATCTTTGTGCATATGTATTTTTTTATTTTTATTTAAAACTGTACCTGCAGTTTGAATATTTAACAATTTAATAATTGTTTGTGAATTTGATTCAAGTAGTTCAGTTGCTCAAAAATATACATCTATAGTTTATTATATTTATGAAAATATTAGACGATAGTCATAAATATATTCATATTAAATAGAAAATTTTAAAACAAAATGGGGGGGAAATATCCGCATCAAAAATGTATCGGGGGGGGACGTCCTACTACAGTACTACACCAAAAATAGGCGCGGTGAACATGTCCAAGCCCGGATTAAGGATCAATTGGGCCCCGGGAAACCATATACTTAGTGGGCCCTTTTCAACTTTAACTTCAAAATAATTGTATTATTACCTACATATTAACGACTTTATATTATTATATAATTTTTTACTATACAAAGAATATACATAGAGTGTATCTTATGTCATAGTGCGCTGGGTTGTTTTTAACAATTATGGATCGATGATATGGAATTTCGTTAAAACAAAAAAAGAGGTGTTTCTTTATTTTTAACAGGCATTTTTTTATAACATTTTCAAAATTTTTAAACACGCAGTTGTACCAATAATAAAATCGACTTTATTTTTTTCAAATGGTACCTCCTAATCACTATATTTTTTTATGGATTCTGTTAAAGCTATTTGTCTAAACATTTTGACAGTCAAATGATCAATTTTAGTTTGCTAGGTTAGCATTACTTATTAACTATGGTCCACGAAAGTTTAGTATAATATGCATTAATACTTTTAACTGAAATACCTAATTTACAATAGCTAAATATTTTGTTCTTATAACTATACCTATATACTTAAATAGTTTAATCAGTAATCAAAAATACTCAGAAAAAAAACATAATCAAAATTGTGTTTGGCAAACATGGTTCATTATTTATAGTAATTTTTCGTGATATAAAATTGAGAACAATTTTATTTTATAATTATTATTCTTTAAGTAATAATAATTTACCTACCTACTTAAATATATATATTTTTTTAAACTGTATTGGACTGGTTAAAAAAATATATTTTGGGGATAAAGATGGGCCCCGAGACCGTGCCACCCTTGCCCCCTCTTAATCCAGGCTTGAACATGTCCGAGGGGAAATGTCCGCGATTCCATATTCAGGCCGACGCTGACCGAAAGTAACATGTGACAGATGAGCAAAACAATGACATGTAAAAAATGACTAGTTTCAAATTCTCATTAAATAACCTTGTTTTTAAGCGATATTATTTCTATTATAATATGGTATTTGAAAAAATGTCTTTAGAAAATGAAGATATACTTCATGGCTGTGAAATTGATTAATATTTTAAATGATAATCAATGATCTAAAATGTTCATCCGTTTTGGTGGAAAAATTGTAATAATCGTGGTGTTAACTTCGTTAAGTTTAATTACAGCCTATCTACAAGTTATTCAATCTTTCACATTATTTGTAGAAAATGTATGCGTATTAAGTTTATAAACTTATTCAAATTTTTAAATAATTGCGTTTAATTATTTTTTTTCAGAAATATGGACCATATAAGAACTTTTAACTTATTTTACTATCATTATGTGCATTTGAAAATGTTAACCATCTACATTCTTTCATGCACAAATAAAGGATTGAGACTATGGCTTGTGTAATCTGATGGATAGTCCTAAAGACTAAGCAGCTAGAACTTAAAAAAATACTTCTATGTAATAAAATGTATTGCTTATGGGTTGTATAATATTGTCTAGAGATAAACATATTATCATGTATATTAGACGGCAAATGCCTCTAAAATAAATATCGAGCAGAGAGTTATGGTTTTGTCTTTAACTGTGACTGCAGTCTTAAAATGTTATATTTCTTACTAACAAATGTACAAAATACAAACTACCATTTAACGCAATTTTAAGCTGACAACAACAACTAAAGAAAAACCATAACACACTACTCGATATTTGTCTGCATATTCAAACATCTGGCAGTGTTAGTGCACAATAATGTTCGTAAACGGAAAACGAAAATCCGAAAATCTGGTAGAATTCGTCACGGCTCGTAGGTACACTATACAATATAATATTTTACTGTGTGGCAGTGGCGTACAAAGGATCTTAGGTATTTTTAAAACGTGTCACATAAAAGATGCGAGCAACTACTGTGAAAAATATCTGTGTAAATGTATAATATGTGTGTGTGTGTTCACTGAACGAAAAGGACCTCACGCTAAGGTTTTATCCGAAATGATAATATAGTAATATGTGCTTAGCGTCCTATTATACATACACGTGCTGTAGAGTACGTTTTGATCATATTTTAGAGTTTATAAATTATAATATTGTTTGGACTGGATGATAAAAATTATAATATATACATTTTCTAAACCGCGTATCATTGACGGAGGGTACATACTACATAGGTAGTGTTGTCAGCTTAAAATGTCATTAAATGGTAGTTTGTATTATGTACATTTTATTGTATCATTTTAAGACTGTAATAATTAAAGAAAAAAACTTAGTGTGCTACTTGATATTTTTCCTCAACAAGGAAAATCTATGAATCATTTTGTTAATAAGTAGGTAACCATAACAACGAAACCCTTACCAGAAATCGGACAGAAACATATGTTTATCATGTATCCCTAGCCTTAAAACATATTTATGTCAAACAATTATTATACTAAATAATTAGTATATTATAGGTACTTGTGTGAAAATAACTAGCATCTACGGTATCGTATATACCATTCCATGTTTACAACTATTATTTGTTTTTACTTTTTATAATTTATTGTTATAGGTACTATGTTTTACCAGTGTATTGACGACAATTTATAATAACAATAACTTTTTCATTGATATCATTAATTTAAAATGAATTAAACCAGATACACATAAATGCGTATACGCTATACGAGTATTGAAATAAATTAAAAAGCAGTAAATATTATAGTACTTAGGTACCGGTGGTAATGTTTAAAATAAAAAAGCAATCACAGAAAAGCAGAGAAAAAAAAAGAATAAAAAAATATGAACAATTTTTTTTGATAACATAAAAATTAAATGTGTTTTTTTGAATTTTATTCATTTTAAAAATAATAGACGGGGGCCAATAATATAACATTTAATATTAGTACATTCAATACCTATTTATTGTAATTTAATGATACGTCATCCTATATTTGTTACTATACTGATATTATATTTTTACATAATGAAAGCCAAACTTCTTTGAATTAACATAATTTAAAAAAAGATAACGTTCTAATATTATTCTTTATATTTAATGAAAGTATTTAACATTTTGCCCCTAAACTCATTTAATCGACAATACCTCTATTTTCTAGATAATATTATGTTTACTCGATAATACATTGATTAAAATAGGTACCTACATACCGACCATTGATTAACTACAATAATTATTATTATTGATATTTTACATTTTTACCATATTTGTAATTAGTTTGAATAGGTTCTATAAACGCAGACACGAGTCTGTACTCAAGTGTGTATTGTGTCTGTAACCAGGAGATAAAATAAAGGATGTTCTTTGCGATAAGAGATTCAATTCCAAATTAGTTGGTAGGCGTTAATATTATTTACAACAGACGGTAATACATTTTTTTGGTTCAAAAATGATTTAGTATTCGCCTATCTTCGGAAGTAATACAACGAACATTTATTCTTTTATTTAATTACAATTTCTGATCTTATTCGTTTTTCATTTTCACAACGTTTATATTTCCCGTTCACTGAGCCACAATAATAGTTACTTCTATTATAATATTATGTACGTGTATACCGATAAAATATATCTTATTATAATATAAATGTGTGTCGTATATTGCACGTAAAGTATATAAAGAACTTTCGAACGTGAAACTTCATCACTGCAGCGTGACACACCACGACGAATGACAAGAAGAGTATTTTGATTTAATTTAAAGTAGGTACTCTTTAGTTTGTTATTAAATTTCACCTCTTGCATAAATCGGAAGATGGAAGAAGCTTGTGAAACTTATATGTATAGAGGTAATGTAAAACTTGTTATCGATAATTTCATAATGACAAAAAATAAAAGTACTGGCTCCTTGTACTATTGGCGTTGCGAAAAACGATCTTCTAAGCATTGTCGTTCATGCGCTCGAACCGTTTTAATTGATGGAAAGCATTATTTAAGACATAATATGACACCGCATAACCATACTACCGATGCTTCTAGAAAACATATAATTGCCATTTATGAGAATTTGAAGCGAAATGCACGTGAAACTAATGATACGCCCAGACAAATAATACAAATGGTACTAAACGGTTTTCCAAGCTCAGTTACTTCGTCGTTGCCAAAGTATCAAGCGTTAAGTAATATTATATCTAGAGAACGTAAAAAGCATATTGTTGTAATAACTTTAATTGACAGAGGAATTATTTACTCACAGACCATTTCAGTGTAAATTAGGTATATTTAATACACAATAGTAATTTTTTTTTCAACTATTATTGATAAAAAATTGATTTATTATATAAAATATATATACTTATTTCATACTAAAATGTTCAGATTTAGAATTATATTTATTATAATGAATAATTAATAAGTACAAAATACAATAGTAAATATAAATAGTGCATAATATTAAGTTTAGTGTAAATGTTAGTTTTGTATAAAAATCTAGTTTCGGGAAATTATGTGTACTGATCCCGTTCAAACAGAGAACAGGACTGTATTTTTTTTTATTTTTTTTTTATTTAAACCAGCTAACAATAACATTTATTGGGTTTATAAGCCGGTTTTAATTCGGGATTGTTATTATTGGGTTTTATCATGTATTACTTATGTATTATTGTTTAAACATGAAAATTTACTATATAGATTATAATTGAGAGCTGTAGACTGTAGTATCATAGGCGCAATTTGGGCTAAATTTATGGGGGTGCTAGATTTATGTGGACCAAAGTAACACGTGGGGGGCTTCGCCCCCCACACCCCCATCATAACACCATTCATGAATTCATAATACTACCTGATTAATCAATAATTATTAATATTTGAAAAATAAATATATAATACAGGTAAATACGTTTTTTATTTTCATTTAAATATTAATATTATACTAAAGATATACGCCTTTGAGACATAGCAAAATTATTTATTATTTTATCTTTATAAATTTAATTGCTTAGATCTCTCTCAATATTTATAACTGACAAATCTGTAAATTTGGACTGTTCCATGCTTGTCCTAAGCCAATTCTTTATTCGGCGCATAGATGAAAAAGACCTTTCACAAGTAGCTGAGCTTATAGGAATAGCTAATCCTACTTGAATAAGTTTAAACAAGTTTGGAAAAACATTTTCAGTCACCACTTTCTTTATTCCAAGTACTTATATCAAAATCCAAATTTCCATTTTGTAAACAATTTTTTGTCAGCAACATTTCTGCTTTCAATGATGTTAAATCAATATTCACAACATCCTGAAATTATATTATCCTCACGACCTCACATGATTATTTTATTTACAAAATTAACCTACATTACATTAATCACAACAATATATTATATACATGGTTGTTAGGTACCTGTTTATAATTATTATGAATTCAATTAATGAGTTATTATTATTTAGTTTATAAATAATTTACTAGTTACGAACAGTGGCGTAGCCAGGGGGGGGTTTTGGGTGTTTAAACACCCCCCATTGACATTTCCCCCATAATAAATATATTGTTTATAGGGTTCGGGACTGCTTGCATGTTTCATCGTAGCGGTAGTAGGTTATTTTAGATAAGTTATACATTTGTCTTATCAAACAAAGTTTGAATTTGCAGATTTTTGCAAATTGTAGGAAAATTGTACATTTGAGCGATTTTTCGCATATTTGTGCATATTTTAAATTTTTTTAACTTAAATGTAGGTACATACAATTGTTAAAATCAAATTTGGATAACATTGAAAAATATCTTTAAAAATATTATGTTTGGTTAGGTATACAATAGGCGCTAATTTTGAGATTTGGGGAAGCCGAAGCCTAAAACCATACTATTATAAAATTTAGTAAATGTTTAGGAGACCTGTTAAAGTTCTTGGTGGAGCTTGGCTACGGTTGGCCCTATTTTCGTATATGGTACGTAAGACTTTATAAGTGTTTTGTGACAAGTCTGTGTTAAAACTATAATTGGCATCTAGATTCTAGATTGTACGAATAAATGAAAATCAGTAGATATGTGTTCGTTTATCACGGTGTTCGCATATCACGTTATTCATTATTAGGTACTCATTTATTACCTAGTATTTTATACCAGCATTTTTAAAAATCAAGTTTTATTTCACAATAGTTTAAAAATATCCAAAACGTGCAATAGTATCCTCCGTCCATCATATTAATCATTAATCAATATAAGGTACCTACCTATATTAAAATTTGTATACCCGTGTTTAAATTATTTTTTTCATGTTTATATAGGTACCTACTTATTTTTTAGTTTTTTATTATACAAATTGTAATATTATGTTTTATGAATTTTTCAAAAATAATATAAAAATGTAGCTACATATGTTTAAGCATATTTTGAAAATCTTGACTGCATATTTCGATAGTTTTTAGTGCAACAAGTCAAGTCCCAAATCCTAAATTTATTTATATACGAAAACTGTAAAAACTTGGTTTTAATCTATACTTAAACACCCCCCATTTCATAATTCTGGCTACGCCACTGGTTACGAACCTTGTAATGATTGATGAAATATGAACCTTTTTCAAAATCCATTTTCATAAACTGGTCTAATGAGTTGGCTAAAACTAAACTTTCATCCGAAAAACGGTATTTTATATTATTATTTATTATTATTATTATATAAGTCAAATCTTAGAAATTAATTTATCCTGTTGTCTATGACATAATACGTGTATAACCAATAACAATTAAATGATGCTGTTGAAAATTTGGGGGTGCTAATATGAATTTTGGGGGTGCTAAGCACCCCCAAGCACCCCCCAAATTGCGCCTATGTGTAGTATAATAGTACATCCATTATAATGTATAATATACCTTTTGACGTGGACGACATTTCCACGACGCTAATACAGACTTAAACATTTACTTGACATTTACATTTTTTAGAAAATTGACTTACTTATATAATTTCCCAATAACAACCTAAAAGTGTGCTGAAAAATTTGATTTTCCATCAAGATGGATCTTATATATTTTACATAATATATATATGAATGTTGCAAAATAATGATTACTAATGTATTATTATATTATTATTTATTAGGCAGTAGGCATATATTATTTTGTATCTGTTATACTAATGATAAAAATAAAAATGTATTCATATCTCCGTTCGCATCTGGACTGTCATTACTATGACGAAATCTCACACCATTGAATTTTTCTATTTTGTGTAATTTTTTTTTATAAATTATAATGGCTGTCTTATAACACAATATGAATATTTTTAAACGATCAAATCTAAATCAAACTGTTCACAAAATGTTTTAGTTATTGACACATTTGCAGTTACAAGTTATTATATTATATTTTTTTTTATAGAAAAGCATATTAATTGTAATTCAGACAATAAATTAAAAGCATGATTCATATATTACATCGTGTTTGAATTAATTTGTTTATTTTTAGTATGCTCTAAGTAATTAAGATTTATGATCGGTGATAGCTAGACTATATTTCGAATTAGACGAGGAAAATATATTATGAACATAGGCGCAATTTGGGGGGTGCTTGGGGGTGCTTAGCACCCCCAAAATTCATATTAGCACCCCCAAATTTTCAACAGCATCATTTAATTGTTATTGGTTATACACGTATTATGTCATAGACAACAGGATAAATTAATTTCTAAGATTTGACTTATATAATAATAATAATAAATAATAATATAAAATACCGTTTTTCGGATGAAAGTTTAGTTTTAGCCAACTCATTAGACCAGTTTATGAAAATGGATTTTGAAAAAGGTTCATATTTCATCAATCATTACAAGGTTCGTAACCAGTGGCGTAGCCAGAATTATGAAATGGGGGGTGTTTAAGTATAGATTAAAACCAAGTTTTTACAGTTTTCGTATATAAATAAATTTAGGATTTGGGACTTGACTTGTTGCACTAAAAACTATCGAAATATGCAGTCAAGATTTTCAAAATATGCTTAAACATATGTAGCTACATTTTTATATTATTTTTGAAAAATTCATAAAACATAATATTACAATTTGTATAATAAAAAACTAAAAAATAAGTAGGTACCTATATAAACATGAAAAAAATAATTTAAACACGGGTATACAAATTTTAATATAGGTAGGTACCTTATATTGATTAATGATTAATATGATGGACGGAGGATACTATTGCACGTTTTGGATATTTTTAAACTATTGTGAAATAAAACTTGATTTTTAAAAATGCTGGTATAAAATACTAGGTAATAAATGAGTACCTAATAATGAATAACGTGATATGCGAACACCGTGATAAACGAACACATATCTACTGATTTTCATTTATTCGTACAATCTAGAATCTAGATGCCAATTATAGTTTTAACACAGACTTGTCACAAAACACTTATAAAGTCTTACGTACCATATACGAAAATAGGGCCAACCGTAGCCAAGCTCCACCAAGAACTTTAACAGGTCTCCTAAACATTTACTAAATTTTATAATAGTATGGTTTTAGGCTTCGGCTTCCCCAAATCTCAAAATTAGCGCCTATTGTATACCTAACCAAACATAATATTTTTAAAGATATTTTTCAATGTTATCCAAATTTGATTTTAACAATTGTATGTACCTACATTTAAGTTAAAAAAATTTAAAATATGCACAAATATGCGAAAAATCGCTCAAATGTACAATTTTCCTACAATTTGCAAAAATCTGCAAATTCAAACTTTGTTTGATAAGACAAATGTATAACTTATCTAAAATAACCTACTACCGCTACGATGAAACATGCAAGCAGTCCCGAACCCTATAAACAATATATTTATTATGGGGGAAATGTCAATGGGGGGTGTTTAAACACCCAAAACCCCCCCCTGGCTACGCCACTGTTCGTAACTAGTAAATTATTTATAAACTAAATAATAATAACTCATTAATTGAATTCATAATAATTATAAACAGGTACCTAACAACCATGTATATAATATATTGTTGTGATTAATGTAATGTAGGTTAATTTTGTAAATAAAATAATCATGTGAGGTCGTGAGGATAATATAATTTCAGGATGTTGTGAATATTGATTTAACATCATTGAAAGCAGAAATGTTGCTGACAAAAAATTGTTTACAAAATGGAAATTTGGATTTTGATATAAGTACTTGGAATAAAGAAAGTGGTGACTGAAAATGTTTTTCCAAACTTGTTTAAACTTATTCAAGTAGGATTAGCTATTCCTATAAGCTCAGCTACTTGTGAAA